TATGTTGAACAAAGACTTTTATTTACTGGCAAAATCTCTGAAACACACCTCTAAATGTAGTGGCATTGTCAGGGATAAACCTGCCGATTCTATCATTGACAGACACCTACAAGCATGTGAAAGTTTCACCGCCAAAATACTCTCAGACACTCACCACCCATTACACAGTGAATTTTCAAAAGCTGTATCTACATCATCCACACGCTCAAGATTTAAACTTTTATTTGCACGTACCTCTGCTTATCGTAATTATGTTCTGCCATATCTAGCCCGTCTACTTATAGACAAGGACAAAATTTCGACAGAATTGCGCAACCGCTTGCTTCATTGGCAAACACCCCATTGGTTTCAGTTTCATCATTATTATTATTATTTTGTAAAGTTGAATCCACAAATATGGTGTCATTGCTGAAAATACATCCATTCGGGTGCATAAAGCTACTACTGATTTGACTTGACTTCAATACGTACACTGCATGTTGGTTAAGGCCTTCCTTGTTCTGGTTTCACGTGTATTATGCATTGATACTAAAGAATCTCCATTGGGGAAGCTCTACTCACCACCTCCCAGTGGCGGATGTTTTCTCACCAAATCGAGAGGACGAAAAGCCAACATCCGGAGCTGTAGCCAAGTCGGTGAACCACTGGCAGTTCACCTTGGGGGGAGTTGGGTAAAAACCCTGATTTCAAAAAACCAACCAATAAACATGCGAAGTACACTTGCTCGAGTGTTGCGATGATCACCTGCTCAATTAGACACCTTTGACGTTTGACCCCATCCAAAGGGTGTATGATCCGATGAACTGGATACCGGACTGCGGTTTTCACACTGCACCCAGAGGCCTTGTCGGTCAGGCTATGGCTCCGCCCAAAAGAAATCGTGGAACTCTCGTTTTTTTAACAAAGAATATTGTACAACGATTTGTTTGGCACAGTCTGGACGTGTGAAATACACACCAAACTACATGGCGTGGTGTATTCCTGAAATGACCGGAGAATTGTGGCGGGCGTGGTATGACAATGGAACAGGATTGCCAGAAATGTGACTCCTGTAGCTCATGACTCAAACCAGTCTGTGCCATTGAAAATAAAGAGAGACATCCGATGGGAGGTTATGAATGCAGTTAGCGGATTGCATATTGCTATCGCAACAACTGACTGACAATCTCTTTCTAACCTAAACGGTTTTCACACCAATGCATAATAACCGCACAGAAAATTCACAGATGCACCTGGGTTTGCAAAGCGGTCAGTGGGAATTCCTGCCTTTGCTAATGTTGGTTTGAAGACCGACACATTCTTGACGGTGAATTGTACTCGCATGAGATGCTTCTGGTCAGAAGTGATCCGTCTAAAGGAGAGGGCATGTGCTGCTCTATTTTCACAGCAATCCCCAATGTGAGCTACCTGATCTTCATCTTAAAGCCTCTGACACATCGGTGCTCTTTAAAGCTGTTCAAGGAGGATGCTTACGAAGATTATGTAGCATTTTTTGCCCTTTCAACTTCCCCCTATCTGTAATTCCTTTGGTGATTTTGTACGTCAACCACACGAGAAAGTTCAAATTTTTGCATCCCGGTTTGCCGATAATTACACCTTACCCCATTTTCCTAAACATCCATCTTCACTGGCAAACCGTTCCTACCTCACATTAACACCAGAAAATTCCGTTAAACATTGCGCTCACCAAAGGCAAACAAACCACCCGGTCCGGAGGGTATTCTACCCATCGTCTTCGAACTGTGCTCCCGAGCTGGCTCCTATTTTACGTCATCTTTTCAGTCTTTCTCTCTAACTTTCTTCCTTTCCAACCCCTTGAAAATACGCCGTGATTTTTCCCATTCCCGACGCGGCGACCTTTCTGACCCCAACAATTACCGACCCATTTCTCGCACATCTGTTCATTCGAAAGTATTTGAAACTATCATCTCTGGCCAGCTACGCACCCCCGTTGAAAGTGAAGGACTATAGAGCGACCACCAATATGGCTTCCGACAGCTTCGTTCCATCGGTGACCTGCTGGCCCTTGTCTCATAATCATGGTCAGCCTCGCTCAATAACCACGGAGAAACACACTTCTCTCGCTTGGCATCTCAAAGGTGTTCGACTGAGTTTAGCACGGTCTTCTGGCGAAACTAACCATGTACGGGTTCCCTCTGGCGCTCGTAGCGCGGATATCAAGTGTCCTCAGTAAGCGAAGGGTAGTGGTGGCGCAATGGTGTAGTCGCTGTCACCGACATGCTTTGGACCCTATGGTCCGAGGTTAGAGCCTCTCCACCGTCACCCAACTTTGGCGGTAGGCAGCTCTGCTATCACCTAACCTATCGGGGCCTTATATGGTTCGCCACTCAAGTCCCGGGGCTTAGGTTGCCGATTTCCACCACTAAACAGCAGGTCCTCGTGGCTATAGGGCTTGCCCCGTCTGCTGTTCTTCACACGTGGGTGTGTAATAAAAAAAAGCGAGCCA